AGCAGGTGGAGGGATCTTCTTTAATGGAGGAGGCCTCGCTTTGCTGGATGGTGAAGCTCGAAAGAGAAGGCAAGTCTTCCTTCGTCATGCTTTCGTCCTCCTGGGGCTCCTCCACGCAGAACTCCTGGTCCTGGGTTGGAGAATAAGCTTCTCCCACTGAGCTGTCTTTGTCCTCGTTGGGCTCGCCTGGTTGAGGATCCTCAGGACACATCTCATCAGGCAGCACGTAGTCTCCTGCTTCTGGGTGGGAAGAGGCCAACCTATTTTCTTCACCCCTGGTGACACTGACTGGCACGGAATCATAATCGTCGGTTTCCAGCCTAGTGGCGTACCAGCTGCTTTCCGGCCCTAGGTCTTCATGGACTTCATCATAAAAGGGACCTTCATTTCCGTCAGGCTCATCTGGGACTTCATACATTCTCTCTTTTTGGATTATGTCATAGATGCTGCTGTAGTCTTCGTCATTCATGCTTATTGACTGATGGATCCTTTCGCCGGCAGAGCTGAGCAGATATGAAATGGGTAGAGGGACGGAGGATACTGCACTGCCTTGCAGAGGAATCAATGGGCTTTTGAATCATAGCAACTGGGAACAGCTATCAATGACAGGACTCTAACAATCATTTACTGGAGACTTTAATAAGGAAACCACAAGTCCATTGGACAGAAGATAAAGCTTACACACTCAGTTAACTCCTTCACTCCTAAAGGTGGTTTCAACTAGCCTCCGAGTTTGCCTCATTGTTGGTAACTCCAAGAGTCTTTGGATAAATCAGAGGTTAAACTGAAGTATCATCCCTGCATACACTAAAATTGTGAATATTTAACTATTTGTCACTAGTAGGGTTTCCTCCTTCAGTTGCCTCCAAATGTTGACGACATTCGAGAAGTACCTGCTATTCAGTGGAGAACTATGATTCTTCACTATGGTAACCCATCCATTTACAGCCAAATTCATCACACAAAACAATTCTTTGCATATTGATACTCTATGATGAATGAGTCACATAAACCCCAGTTAGGTAATCATTTCTATTTACATTTCTTATCTGGAAATACCACTATGTAATTAAATGGCAGAAGGGAAAGGAGATAAACACTAAGGCCTATGGGCGCATTAGTACAGATCACCCCAAAATAAGGCGCCTAAAGATTTATGGCATTAATTTTTTTTCTCTTAAATCTGTGTGAGTATCATAGTTAACAAGCATTCACTAAGACCCTATTATTTATAGGATACTGCACTAAGCACTAAACAAAAGAGTTGGAATATGCATTCTGTGACCTGAAGGGGCTTTTAACTATAGTTGGAGGGACAGGAAGAGAAATTAAAATCCTAGCACAGTAAAAACTATTTAAAGTTTTCTTAGTGCAATTGGCCCAGGTCTAGAGAAAGCAGTTAAGAACCGCATGCATGACAGCTGAGTAGATGTCCTCTGTTGTACAAAGATGCTCTCTGCTTTTTGGGGTTTTTTTTGGATTTTTATAAGAGAGATTTTTGCTATAGGATGTGTGCTCTCACCAGAGAGACAGAGAGACAGCAAGCAAGAAATCACCCCCCGGGGGGATGGCCATGCCTCAATCCCTTCTCCTCCTTTTCCTCTTGGGATTTTTGGGCACACACACACACACACACACACACACACACACACGCACACGCCCTGCAGGAGTTTTAAGCCACTAGATCTGGGACTTGAACTGCGGTAGACTACATGGGAGTCCAGCGATGTAACCATTACGCCATCTACTGGTTCCAGTCTCTCTGTTTTTTAATCTGGTACTCTGTTCTGCTAATTCCCTCTTTCCTTCACCACACCATGTACATCTTTCTCTCTGAAGTGATAACTCAGGTAGGTTGTAAGGGAACTTAAACGTCTAAATATCATGAGAACATTGAGAAGCAATGTAACTCCTATTGACAGGCTTCAAAGCATTTGATGGGCATCTTACCGGCAAAACTTTATTGTACTCTTATGCTTTAGTATTGTATCCAGAAATCTTCTAGTGAGAACTAAAGGAATATTTCTAAAATTCTAGCTTTTGGGACAGCTTAAAGACTGGGTAAGGAGAAAGAGATCAGAGAGACATTAAAAGATATTGACACTGGCCCTTTCTCTTATTAAAAAGGGAAGCAAATACCTGAAAAATTAACATAGGCGCTATACTGATGCATTTGTAACTGAACAGTCCTGCCTAAAATCATCTTCATAATTTTAGAGCTGTAGAATACCTAACAGATCATTCCGTCTTTATCTTACTTTACATTAGAAAACAAACACCAACAGGCAAAAAAACCCAACAGCCATCAAGACACACATAAAACCTGAAGAGAAGGAAGTGGATGGTCTGAATTCACACAGAAAGTTAATGACGGAGCTGACTTCAGCTGTGGCTTTTGAACCTCCGGCTTAGAGATCTTTCTGCTACTCACTTCCTTTCTAAACTCAGCTTCAGCTGTGGCTTTTGAACCTCCGGCTTAGCGATATTTCTGCTGCTCACTTCCTTTCTAAACTCACCATTTTCAACTATTTGTTTCATGATCACAGCCTGGCCTCCTCCACTCCCCAGAAAAAACCTTTAAAGTATTTTTATCAAGAAATTAAAATACTGTAGATATTGCATATCTGTTTCCATAGTGTATGGCAGTATACACAGGGATACACTGTGCTTTCTAGCAGTAAGCCATTTTTACCTCTCAAGAACCAATTTTTACTCCTTTGGGGGTGCTGTTGCTCCTCTTGACCATGCGTGTCTTCACTACTGAAACACTTGTAACATGTAGCTCCTAATCTAGCACTAGAATACCTGCCGTGTTGCCTCACTGCCGAAGATTTAATACAGTCAGAGGCTGAAGAATGAAGTTCCTATCAATGTGCCACAGATACGATGACAGTCCCGTAAAATTATATTGGACCTAAAAACGTTCCTATCACCCACTGACATCATAGCCATCCTAACACCATAGCACCACACACTACTTATGCGTTTTTGGTGATGCTGGTGTCAGTAACCCTGCTGTACTGCCAGTTGTCTAAAGTATGGCCCATACAGTTACTATGTCCAGTACATGATACTTGATAATGATACACAACTATGTATTCAACTATATTATTTATTGTTGAAGTGTACTATTACTTGTAAAAAAAAGTTTACTGTAAAATTGTTTAAAAGTTGTAAGATTTTAAAGATCACTTTGATAGCCTATGGCAAGGTTAACAGCTGCCTGAGATTAGCTAATCTATTGGGTCATTGGAAAGGCATGATGAAAATACATTAATAAAGTTTTTATGTTATTTACATGATACGTAAATAAAGTTAATGATTACTGTGATTAACTTTTTGGAGTTAAAAGAAAAAAAACCAAATCCCTGAAACCCAACTGTTAGACTGCACAAGTCAGGAAGAGGAATCTACATTAAGCCCATGGTGCCAGCCACATCCTGACCCCAACGCTAATAAATGTAGAGCAACACACAGGGTCATTACGATGCTGTCGGCTTAGATAAGCAAGATAGCATCTAAGCCCTCCCCAGTTCGGACACCCTTCGGTAAACATACCTCTTAAGTGCTGTTTCATAGCTTTTTCATCAGCTTTTCTCCTGAATCTGGGTCCAACCATGTGTTACTCAAATGCAAAAGTTCATTCTTGCATCAGTTTTTATAAAAATAATCCACTTCCACCCAAAAATATTTATGGAGTAAGTACTTTTTTAAAGAAAACTAGTATAAGATTTATTGAGTTAAAAGTGGAATGAAATCATAGATTAAAAATTATGACAATTTTAGAGGATGAGATTAAGCCTATTATTATTTGGAACATGGGGAAATGATACTGCTTAATTTCTTTTCCAATATTCAAGGTCATTTTTAATGTCCTTTTTAAAAATTTCTTTTTGGTATAATAAATTCTTGACTGAGTCTTTCCCAAGGAAAGATCTTTAATCATTCCATCATTTTTTTTTTTTTTTTGAGAGGGTTTTTTTGTTTTTCGTTTTTTGGGTTCTTTTTTTTTTTGCTATAGGGCGCGTGCAGTCGCCAGGAAGACATAGAGAGACAGACAGAAAGCGAGAAATCACCCCCCAGGGGGAGGGTCACGCCGCAATCCCTTCTCCTCCATTCTCCTCTGGGGATCTTGGGCACGCACGCACACGGGCCCAGCATGAGTTTTAAGCCACCGGGTCCGGACGCGAACCGCGGCGACTACGTGGGAGTCCAGCGACATAGCCATTATGCTAACTGCTGGTCCCAATCATTCCATCATTTTTAAGGTAGTTTTAGTTGTTTTTATTTGTTTGTTTCCACAATCTTCGGATCTTAAATCTACTTCTGACTGCCATCTAAGCCTCTCTCTGGCCAAAGAAAGGATGATCTAAAGCAGCGATACTCCATGATGGTCAGGGAGCCGTCCATTACTGCTGTAAGGGTAGGGGAGACTTCTACCAGAGCGCAAATTCAAGCACGATCTTTACTTGGTAAAGAAAGGCTTGCTTGGCACCACAGTTGATTTAAATTCTGGTGCAGCTCCTTGTCTGGGACTGGCACAGGCAGAGGGAAATATCTTCATGGAGATTCAGGGCCACAGGAAATAATCCCATCAGGTGGTGGCCTTTCCCTGGCTCCACCCTCAATTTCATTCCTCTCCCTTTTTTCTCCCTTCTTCCACTCTCAGAAGAGCTATCAATTCTTCCAGTTTCTTCCACAGACTATTTTTCAGACTAGCTCCACTCACATCTGAACTGGAAAAAGGGTCCCCCACCTCCCTCCCAAAAAGGATTTTCCAAGAATTCAAGCAGAACACAGAGCACTGTCTCTGAAGAGAATTCTCCTGGATATGACACTCCGTCCTGTTGCATTTATTCTCAGATTTGGCAACTCCCTGATGTTTCTCGGACACTGTAGAACCAGTGGCCATGAATTTGCAAAAGGAAGTACTCTCTGGATTGCTTACTTCTTTTTTTTTTTGGATTGCTTACTTCTTAAGGCATGGGAATGGCTCAATTTCCAGAGAAAACAGGCACAGCCAGAGCTGCAGGTAGGTGGCAAGCCTGAGCATTGTTCTGCTGAGGCCTCCTCCCTGTAGTCATCCTTATCAGTGGTTTGCAGATGAGGAGGAAGGGGAAATGAGACTAGGTCAGAAAGTGCTGTTGGAAAAGGGCTTGGAATCAGTTCAACATTGCAAGGTGGAGGGGAAGAGACTAGTTACAGGCTTAAGGTTCCTACAGAGCTCAAACATTTGGACTTTTTCCAGGAAAACTCACTTGAGTTTATATCAGCTCATTGGAACCAATGTGAAAATCATCAAACCGTAGACTCCTCAAACAGGTCGGAGGTCATACCCTACAACAGGCCCTGGAATGAGTGATTAAGCCCTGATACATTTGGTAAACCTGTCATTTAAAACAGGACCTTCTCACCAGAGATAGCTGAATTAGTCACATGAGCTTCAGGAAAACCAGCACAAAGAGTTGGCTTCCAAAAGGCAAGGAAACAGTTACAGAGAAGAGAAAAACTAGTGAATTAAAGAAAGCCATGACCAGCAGATGGCATAATGGTTCATTACTGGACTCCCATGTAGTCGACCACGGTTTGATTCCCAGACCCAGAGGCTTAAAAAACTCACGCCCAGTGCGTGCCCAAGATCCTGAGAGGAGAATGGAGGAGAAGGGATGGTGGTGTGGCCATCCCCCCTGGGGGGTGATTTCTCACTTTCTGTCTCTCTAACTCTCCGTCAAGCTCTGTCTCTCTTGGTGAGCATACATGCCCAATAGCAAAAATCTCTTTAAAAATAAAGGAAAGAAAGAAGCCCTTGCTCCTTTCAAAGGCCAATACTTCCACTTCGTCTCCCTGCTTCACCCTTCTCCTCAATGCTACTTTGAGGAGCCACTTAGTCTCGCAAGATTGTGGGGCTGGTGGCTTGTCATTTTAGCAATATTTTCAGTCCAGAGAATGCAAAGTCTTTGTCCACAGGAATGAAAAGCTAATGGTAAGATCTCATTTCCACTCTTCAGGGAAGATTTATTTCTCACCTCTTGTCTTCCCTAATTCTCAGTCTTCCTGTATATAAAATTAGAATAGTAATTTGTGTCTGTTGGAAGATTTACTTAAATAATGTAGGTGACAAGATTACTGCATTAGCTGGCTAGTTCTTATTAGCGCTGCTACTACTGTTTTTAAAAGTAACTGTTTAAGCCTGGCTCCATGCCATAGTGGTAATGTGCTGTACTAGAGAAGCCAGGTTCCACATGGTGACCACAGTTCGGACCTCTGACTTGGTCAGCCTGAAGTACCCAGGATCCAACACACGTGCTGGAAAACGGGAGGAAGGGAATCATGTCATGACCAGACCCAGCGGCAGGTGTCTCTCTCCCTCTCTCATGAACACATGTGCTCTATCATGAGAAAAAAAATTCCATAGATGATGACATGAATTCTTATGTTCTCTTTTTCTGATAAATAATGAAATATTCTGAATCTATTTGGAGTTTTAAAATCTGAGCATATAAAGGTTAAAGAAGGCGTTAAGGTATACCATGGGACATTGAAAACTTAAAATCTAAGTGTAAGATACAATCCTTCTTCAGGAAAGGTCATTGATGATGTGAAACGTTATGACTGGGGACAAATAAGTGGGCCTGCCCTTGAGGATTTCTGAAGTGGGAGAGGCTCCCCTAGCCTGGGAGTGAGGAGCAGGAACAGTGAGTGTCTTAGGAAGTTAAGTGAGACTGGAAAAATGGAGTGAAAAATGAATGTTAGGTGTGACAAGAAGCAGAGCTGGTATCTCACAATGAGGGAGACTAAACCAGAGAGGTGGAGTATGCAGATCGGGGATAAATAGAGGAGATGACAATACTGAGCAATGCTGTGATTGGCCTTGAATGCCAGAATGAGAAAACTGAACTTTATGCTTTAACCACCATACTACTATCTGGCCCCCAAACCCCATTTTTAAAATAAGATGAATGGGGCCGGCAGGTGGCGTGGTGGTTAAGGGCACTGGACTCCCACATGGCCAACTGCGGTTCGTGCCCAGAACTAGCGGCTTGCTCTCTCCCTTTCTCTCTTCCTCTCACTCTATCCCTCTCTGGTCAAGTTAAAATAAATAAATAAATGGATAAGTAAAGTTAAATGAAATAATATAGATAACTACATAAATAAAAACAGGATGAATTTTGGGACCAGCAGATGGTGTAACGGTTAGGTCGCTGGACTCTACATAGTTGTCGGCAGTTAGAGTTCCAGACCCAGTGACTTAAACCTCACGCTGGGCCCATGTGCCTGCATGCCCAAGATCCTTAGAGAGGAATGGAGGAGAAAGGATTGCGGCATGGCCATCCCCCCATGGGGCGATTTCTCACTTTCTGTCTCTTTGTTTCTTTCTGTCTGTCTGTCTGCACATGCACCTTATAGCAAAAATATTTCTCTCTCTCTCAAAAAAAAGAAAAAAGGATAAATGAAAAGCCCTGAGCACTAAAGAAGGGCATGCCCTGCTTCATCCTCTCCCTGCCCCTATGCTCTACCCTGGCTCTGTGGTCTGATGTAGCCTGAGACTGCACACCCAACCCACGTGCCCACCTCATGGATGGTCTCCCACAGCCCTCCAGTCCGCCCTCGTTATTCAGGAGGCTTCTAGATTCCTCTTCCACCTCCCTCTGCTGTCCCCATCATGGCCAAAACCTCTTTGTCTGACCCCTTAGTATCTTTGTCAGTTCTCCAGAACCTCCAAGGTAGGGAAGAAGCAACTCAAAGCAGATGAACCTGCAGACAAAAGACAGCAAGAGAGCGGTGGACACCCTCTGAACCAGGCTGTTGCCGACAAAGACAAAGACCACTGCATGAGGGTCAAAGGTATTGGTGGGAATACTAAGCTTATCTAAATCTTAGTGGAGAAAAACCAGGCCGAGCTACCTGAAGGTAAAGAGCTTTCGCTACAGCCAATTTTGGTCCATTGAGATCTCTTACCTACCTGTTCAAGTGCATTTCTCTATCTTTGAGAGTTTCTTTTTGTGATTTAAAGGGTTTCAGGTTTTACCATTTGGGGATTTTTTTTTTTTCTCCAAAGACATTAAGGAATCTTGGTTGTGTGTTAGTAAATCAAAAGCAGTCTATATCAGTGCTCTTGAGTGTGGGTACGTGCACACTCTGTATATTACATACTTCTCTACATGATAAATGATAATCTTGTACAAATTGTTATTCTGAAACATCCAGGGAAGATGGACAGAAGAGGCGAGGGCTTAGAAAAAACTGCTGGATCCCTGTCATTCTGCCAGGTTGGGGACACAGGTCCCAAATAGGCTCTCCTTCCATTCTTCAGTTTCACATTTTCTAAACAGTATCAGCCATTGTTTGTTCTCACAAGTCACTGCATAAGAAACACACGCTTAGCTCAAAAAAACAAAAACCAAGAGACTTCAAAAAGTTCGTGGAGAAGTAAAATTACAATCAGTTCTGTTAAACTGTGTGGGCTTGAGATCGCTTCTGTCCTCACACGCTTCAACTCCTATAAACAAACCACCACTTCCTTAGCAAGTTACTGAATTACAGCTAATCACAAAAACTTAAAATTCATGCATAGTTTTTTCCATAATGCATATTTTTCATGAACCTTTTGAAGAGTCTTCATATGTACACAGCTGTCACTTTGAATTTCCTGTTGTGGCATCGCAGATTTATGTATTTTTACATTAAAAAGATTTCTGATTATAAAGGTCCATGCTCGTTATAGAAAAAGATAAGAAAAATAATTTATAATTCCACCTCTAAAGGTAATTCTTTTGCCCCTTTTTCTACCCTATGTATCTCATTTTAATCATGTATATGTTTATATTCTCTTTTATAAAAGTCAGTGTTTCATTATGTATACACAGGACATTTAAACATATTTTTACAAGACCAGCAAATCTCTTTCAAATAATAAACACTCAAATATTAGTGGGTCGTCGGAAAAGTCATGACTTACTTTTCTATGTTTTTCTATGCAAAAATGTGCCATGACTTTTCTGACAACCAAATAGTTGATGTAAATTGTTGATTTAGAACGTTCAAAGATTTCTTGCTTTATTGTTCAGTCAAATAAATGTGTAAAGGGGAAAAGATTTTGTTTAAATAAGTAATTGGCCCAACAAATCAGTAGAGAAATGCGAAGCTCTGTCATTGCCCCTGCCTCTCTGCATTTCAGAGGCTGTGACACTGTGGCTCTCCAGAGAACAAAGGTAATTAATGTGTGCAGCAGGGAGGGGGCCCTGAATGGCTGACTTGGCATCTTAAGATTGCGTATAACTTTCCTTTACAATTTCCCTTCTAGCAAATGGCACAGTTGATTTCCAAACACATATTTAAATTCTGTTTTGATTGACATTGGGCTGAGTAGTGGGCAGACCTAGGAGGCAGAAAAGGCAAATTATGGAATGGTGGGGTTGAACAAAAAAGCCTCAGGTGTATTGAGGTGTTTCGTGTTTAATAACAATCATGAAAATGACGGGAGAATGAACTGCACATAGTTCTAGTAACATGCAACATGAGGTCAGAGAAACTTTGGTGCCAAGCAGACCTGGGTACAAATGCTGACTCTGCACTTACTGACCTGGGTGATCTTGGGCACAATCACCTCAATTTTCATGCCAGCATTAGCTGGCCCCTTCCCTGCGATATGCATTAATTACCCTTTGGTCTCTGGAGTGCTGTAGAGTCATGACCTGGGAAATGCATAAGGCAAGAGCAATGAGAGAGCTTCCCATGTGTCTCCTGACATGCTGGCCAATCACTTCCTTAAACAAAACTGTTTTCCTTTTAAAATTTCACTTGACTGGAACCAGCAGGTGGTGTGGTAGTTAAGGTGCTGGATCCCATATAGCTGACTCTGTAGTTCGAGTCCTAGAACAGCAGCTTAAAAAACATGCCAGGCCCATGTACGTGCATGCTCCAGATGCTAATAGAATGGAGAAGGGACTGCAGCATGGCTGTCCCCCTGGGGGGTGATTTCTCACTTTCCCTCTCTCTTCATCCCTATGTCCTCTATAGCAAAAAACAAACAAACAAACACCTAAAAAATACTAATAAATTTATTTCATGAACAATAAAAGAAAAACCTTTCTGAATCTTTGAAATCATTTACATCAACTAATATTCGAGTGTTTACTATTTTAAAAATATTTGCTTGTCTTGCTTTCTTTCTTTGTAAAAATGAAGGTAGCAGGGACCAGGTGGTGCACAGCAGTGATATAAATGGACTCACCTGGGGAAGGTCCTGGGTTCACACCGAGGCCACCTTGCACAGGCCCGTGGTCAGAGCTGGCTGAGATTGGGAATGGACTGAGGTATGAAGTCTCCATTGGGGGGTATCTGTGTCTTTGTCTCTGCATCTCTTTCTTTCTCTGTTGTCTCTCTCTAGCAAAAGAAGTAAACTTTTTTTAAAATGGAGATAACACCTTTCTTCCAAGCACTTGCAGAGTCAATGAAAAACTATAAACCTTGGACTGTGGGGCCAGGCTGCAGCCTAGTGGTTAACGGAGCTGAATCCCGCGTGGCTGACCACGGTTTGAATCCCAGCCCTGGCAGTTTAAAAACAAGCTGGGAATGAGTGCAAGCGTGCTCAAATTCCAGCAAGATGAAGAAATGGAGAAAGGATTGCAGTATAACCACATCCCATTTGGGGAGGAGGGTGCTTTTCTCTCTCTTTCTGTCTTTTTTTTTTTTTTTTTTCCATCTTTTTTTGGCAACAACACTTTCTCTTGGGCAATTTAAAAAAAAAAAAAAAAAAAAACAAAACAAGAAACCCTCAGCACCTGGAAGCTTTATACAGGCATGTTCAGTGTTAGTTTCCCACTGTTCTCTCACAACTAAGGCACAACAATCTGAGTATTCAGAATTCTGGAGGGGAAAAAAAATTGATGTATAAGTATTAGAAGTAATAACACAAGTAACATGTCAGCATATTAACGGAACTTAGTTCTACTTTGTGTTGCATTTATTAATATGCAATTGGGGGGTTAGTTTCATTCAATAAACCTAATACCTGCTATAATTAATGATAATCACATATTGTATTTAAAGAAACTTCAAACCTCAAAAGATATTGACAGTGTATTTATGATTTGCACAGAGACGCAGTAAGGCAGGTGCTATCAAATTCATTTAAACATATAAAAGCCAGGCTCAGGCTGCTTTCATGCTCTACAACATTATAATCACAGTCCCCTAACAGCAGACGCTAAATTTCTTCTAAAATTTGCTGCCGTCATTTTTTAAATTTTGTGTTCTGTAAAGGCAGGTCTGTAAAGTCAGAGAAAATACCAGATGTCTATAATTTCACCATAATTCTAGATAATGCAGTGAAAATCAAACTTTGTTGTTTGAACGCAAGGCAAACGCTTGTACTATGTATGAGAGTTCAAAATCACCTTCCGGATTGGAGAACTCTGGCGTTCTCTGCATTCATTGTCCACCAGGGGGCACTGTTGCCTGCTCTCAGCACTGACCCCAGAGGCACGTCAGAGTTCAGTTATATACTATCTTAGGAGGAGGCCAGACATTTATGCACTCTGAAGAGAAACCAGAGTAGGCTAGAACTAGGCAGGTTAAAGTTGATGTTTATGAATAAATACATCAGCCCGATGCCGTTTCTTCTGTTTCTCAGTTATTTTGCTTGGAGGATAAGGTGCCTCAAATTCTAACTATACTGAAGCAGGAGCACCTCCACTTTGAGCTCCTCTCTATACTGGAAACTTGCATCCTCTTTTTGCCTAGAGTAAACAGAGTGATTAACATTCTTACTATCTTTGCTAAATAATCTGAAACTCCCTACCTTCATATGTTCCTGCCCTGAGCCATAAAGAGCATTAAGGTTCCATTGTGTTTGTGTAAGACTAGGAAGTCCCCTACCCTAAAGGTGCTCCAGGTAACAGTACTTAATTGTGCTGTAGGAACCTTGCAGCATGCCACCTTGCCCCGGAAGGCCGGCTGCAACTGGTTTTTCACTGCCCCTGTACAGCCTCTGTACCACCCCTGCAACTGCCCACCTTACAGCCCTTAAAAACCAAGTGCCAAGACTGGCTGGAGGGAGGGGAGAATGGCCGGTGGCATGGCCCAGTTCGAGTCCTGCGAGTCCTGGACCTGGCAGCTTGCTTTCTCATTTTCCTTCTCTCTCTCTCTCTCTCCCTCTCTGGTCAAATTAAAATAAATAAATAAAGTTAAATAAAATAATTCTTTAAAAAAAAAGACTGACTCAGAGCCAGGAGTGTTAACCTCTCCGAGCCTATGGGCAAAATAAACCTGAGCTCTCCAACTCTCTGCGTTTTGCTTGGTTTCTCAGTTATCTGGTCGGCAGTCTGAATTCCACATTTCGTTAAAATAATTTTATCTAACTTGTGTCACATTCATTTAGGGCTTAATTTCTCTTTTTTTTATTCCCTGCAGTTCATTTAACAACTCTTATATTAATTTAATATAATTTCATTTATTTACATATTTTTCCTATAGGGTTTGTGAGCTTACCGGACAGAGACAGAGACAGAGACAGAGAAAGAGAGAAAGTGAGAAAGCACATCCTCCTTCCTCCAACACCCCAGGAGGGATAGCTTTGTTACTATCCTGTCTCCATTCTCCTCTTGAGATTTTAGGCACACCCACCGGTGTGTTTTTCAAGCTGCCAGTTCCAGAACTCGAACCGTGCTGTTTGCCACGTGAGATCCAGCCGCCTTAACCACCACACCGCCTGCTGGCCTCTCTTAGGTTGAATTTTTTTTTTTGGAGAGGTTTTTGCTATAGGGCGCGTGCACTCGCCAGACAGACAGAGACAGAGAGATAGAAAGCGAGAAATCACCCCCCCCCAGGGGGGATGGTCACGCCGCAGTCCCTTCTCCATTCTCCTCTCGGGATCTTGGGCCTGTACGCACACGCGCCTGGCGTGAGTTTAAGCCACCGGTCTGGGACGCGAACCGCAGTCGACTACGTGGGAGTCCAATGACATAGCCATTACGCTAACTGCTGGTTCCCTCTTAGGTTGAATTTGTGTTTTTTAAATTAATGAGTAAAATTTGTATATATGTATCTGTCCACAACACGATCATTGATGCATGTGTACATTGTGGCAAAATCCAGCCCCTAACAAATGCATTACTTCACATATTTTTTTCTCGTGAGCACACACTATAGAGGCTCTTGGCAACTTTCAGACATACACTGTACTATTTAACTGTAGCCACCATGACGTACACTAGCTCTCTTTAACTCATTCCTCCTGTCTGAAATGTTGTGTCCCTGACCGGTGTCTCCCCACTCCCCCCAAGCCCAGTCTCTGATGACCACCACTGTACTCTCCGTTTCTGAGTTCGACTTCTCTGGACCCGTGTGTGACGTCGCATGCACTTGCCTGCCTGTGCCTGGTTTATGTTACCTGACAATATCCTCCAGATTCATTTATGTAGTTGCAACGACAGGATTTTCTTCTTTAGAGCCACATAGTATTCCATTGCATGTACATGCCACCGGTTTTTATCTGCTGATGGACACTTAGGCTAATAGCGTATCTTGGCTGTTGTAAATAACTGCACTGACAACGAGAGGGCGGATGCCAGTCCAGAGTACTGATTTCATATCCTTTGAATATATGCCCTGTAGTGAAACTGCTAGATCATGTGGTGGGCTATTTGTTTTTGTTTTTGTTTTTTTTTAAGAATGGTTTTATTTAACTTTATTTATTTATTTTCAACTTGACCAGAGGGGGCCAGAAAGAGAGAAAGAAAGTGAGAAAGCAAGCCTCCAGGTCTGGGACTTGAACCGGGGTCAACCATGTGGGAATCCAGTGCCCTTAACCACTATACCATCTGCCAGCCTGATGACAGTCTATTTTTTTAAAATAATTATTTTATTTAACTTTATTTATTATTATACCATTATTATTTTTCAGTTTGATCAGAGCGAGAGAGAGAGGAAGTGAGAAAGCAAGCCACCAGGTCCAAGACTTGAACCGTGGTTGGCCATGTGGGAGTCCAGCGCCTTTAACCACCACGCCACTTGCCAGCCCCATGACAGTCTATTTTTGATATTTGAGGAAATTTGTACTTGTTTTTATAATGAAACTGAGGAAAAGACATATTTGTGACACCAAGAGGAAACAAGGGTTCCCTTTTTTCCACATCCTTGCCAACACGTTATCTTTCGTCTTTTTGGTAATAGCCATTCTGATAGGTGCGAAGTGATAACTCTTATATTTTACAATAAGGAGGGGAAGGTTCTAGTAAAAACCATTTGCTCCTCACACCTCTATAAGGTGATTACTTGTTCTATTTTATACCTGAGGAATGTGAGTGTGAGATAATTTGCCCCAGGTCTCAAGCACACAGTGAGCAGGAAAGCCAGACCTGAACCCGAGTGTGTTTGAATGAACAACCCATGTTCTTGTCTTGTTCTGCTTTATAGTAACTTCATCTCCTGGAGGAAACCATCATTATATCCTAACACTGTCTCCTTTGGCTTATTAGACAAAGAAAAACAAGTAGGACACTTATTGCATTACTTAAGAAGTTTGCTATGGGATGCGTGCACTCACTGGAGAGAAACAGAGAGGGAAAGTGAGAAATCATCCTGCAGGGGGAGTGGCCAGACCACAATTCCTACTCTTCATTCTCCTATTGGGATGTTGGACATGTAAGCCACCAGGTCCAGGACTCGAACCACAGTTAGCCATGTGCAATCCAGTCACTTTAACCACCACACCACCAGCCGGCCCCACTCATTGCATTTTTTCACAGTGCCATTTACGAAAACCTTTATTTTTCTCTTGATTATTATTTTTCTCTCTGTAATGAATTTTTTCTAGAAACAGTCTACAGACCAGCTTTGAACGTGTTTTATTCCTACTCTGGTTCACTTTACTAAGTAATAAAATACTCATAAACCTTTATCCCAAGTCTCGGTTCCTAGCACTCATAACATTCGAACCAAATAGAAAATACGTAATGATATCTCTCTACATCCTGGACCGTCCATACCAACATCAGAATGGCTCCCTTTAGTTTGTGTAGACACACGTGTACACACAGACATGGGGAGATGTTTGCACTCAACTTCCTTGCCAGTATTTGTGGTGTCATGAACACTTCAGGTGTCACGGACATGTCTTTTTGTCAGTATCTTTATGATTCTAAGGAAAAGTTGTTCTCGTTGCTAATAATCATAGCACATTGTATCTGTCTTATTAGTTCTTTGTCCTGAGATCCCAATAAAAGCTAAGTCCTAAATCAACGTATCTATCTATTTATCTACAATGTACACTGTACTAAGATCTGGAAGTCACTTTTACGTCTGTCTGTCTGTCTTATTTGGACTGTCACTCTAGTCCCCAAACTGTTCTTCTCTCCACCATTCCCATCTAACTCCTGCCTTTACCAGGGTAAGCTTCCTCCAGCGCAGCTAAGAAACATAAATTCGTCCTTTCTCCTTCCCATCTTCCACTCAGGACCCAGCTAAGTGCTGCCTCCCCCATGCATCCCTTTCTGATCTCTCTGTCTCCTTTAGGACTAATTTTCACGTCTATCTACTGTAATAACTTCATCTTACTTTTTTTTTTTTTTTGAGAGGTTTTTGCTATATGGCACATGGGCTTGCCAGACAGACAGAGACAGAGAGACAGAAAGTGAGAAATCACCCCCCAGGGGAGATGGCCACACTGCAATCCCTTCTTCTCCATTCTTCTCTTGGGATCTTGGGCACGCACGCACATGCGCCTGGCGTGAGTTTTAAGCCACCGGGTCCGGGATTTGAACCACGGTCGACTACATGGGAGTTCAGTGACATAGCCATTACACTAACTGCTGGTTCCTTCATCTTACTTTTATGAGTCCGTCCTAACCACCTTTTCTATCCTTCCC